TTCAGGCGGGGACGTTGCCGGCGCTGGCAAATTTGGCAAGTCGACCATCTCGCGGTAGCACCTCCTGCTTGTCGTAGCTGTTGGTGAGGTTGACAAAGACAGAAGACACGCCGTAGACTCCCATCTCGTCCGTGTGCTACAAAAACACAAAATGTGTGGGATTTAGTACAGCAGGCTTATCATCAGGTAACCGACCTGGGGTGCTCTTAAATTAAATGACCTCTTATATTGCCTAATATGGTATCTTCATGGTGAATTGGTAAGCAAGTATAAATTCTAGATGGACTTGCGGCCCGGTTATTGCGCACAGCGCTTAGCGTGCGGCGAGGCCGTGCCCCAACAGCGAATACGCCGCCCCCTTATTGTCCACTTAGACAGATAACTTAGACAGGGGTCTGAAAACAAACTCCGCGAAAACTGGGCGGAATCCACACCGACATTTCGCGATCGACGCGCTAGAGGCATCTCCACACGGCCCCTAAACATTTTTGGGGGGTGCGCGCGCCTCGAGGGTAAGATGTAGTGCGCTCCTACAAGAAATGCAGTCAATCAGCGCACCACACGCTCGCTCATTGCCGCTACGCGATTACGTGGGCTACTGCCGAGTATAGCGTCATGTCTATCAACAGAGGTTTTACACGAAGACGCGTACGGCGCTCCACGTGGGCGGGTGCGCGCGTCTAGATGCTATCTCCAAAACGCGCGCGGCGGCAGGTTTTACCAACTCCTCACCCCGGCGCTGCCCGTGGCGACGGCACGTCGTGCGAGCACGTGCTGGCTGGCCGTGCAGTTTTTACAAGTAGCTAATGCTACGTACACGTACATACTGGCCCCTGCTGCAGCGCGCCCATGCCAGCAGCAAAGCAAGCAGCAGCAAAGAAATACTGGCCCATGCAGGCAGGCAGCAGCAAGCAATACTGGCCCCTGCTGCAGCGCCGCTCCTGCAGCAGCAAACCAGCAGCAGCACCAAATACTGGTCCCTGCTGCAGCGCGAACCCTGGAGCAGCAAAGCAGCAGCAGCAGGAAATGCCCTCCCCCTAAGGCCGCCGTAAGCCAAGCCGGTGTACGTCTGTGACGAAAACTGCGCGCATGTGTACGCTGCCCGCTATTACGGATTTCGTGCAGCCCGCCCTCCTTCGGCTGCGCTCGCGCCGTCGCGGGCGCGCTCTGCGCGCCCCCGGGCGCGGCGCGGCCCGGCCCGCGCTCCTGGCGGCCCGCGCGGCGGGGCGCGCGCGGGCCGGGCTCGGCGGGCTGGGTCCCCGGCGCGCCTGCCCGTGGGCCCGGCGAGCCGGGGGCGCGGGCGCCGGCGCCGTCAGTTCGTATCTCCACGCGGGGGCGGCCCCAGGCGCGCCGCGGATCGTGATCGGCTGCGGTCGAGGCGAAGGTGACACCACCGCGCCGGCCGCGCCGGGCGTCCGCGGCGGCGGGGGCTCGCTGGGGCGCCGGGCGGTGCGGGCATGCACCCGAGGGTCGCCGCGGAACGTTGGGTGGTGGCGGCTTTAACGGCCGGGTATTTGGGTGGGGGTCAGAGGAGACAACGCGGCTTTTTGCGCAACTGCCCATCTTGTAGCTGCCCGGCGGGTGCTCTCGCTGGACGGTGGATGCCGGCCATGATGCGCGGTATGGCGCGCCGGAGGAGTTGACACGTTTGGCGCGCTGTCTTATCACATCAGTTCTATGCCGACCCGTCTATTATAACTTCTAGGGGCGCTATAATAGCATCGTACGAGCACGGAATCGTGCCGCGACTTCTCAGGAACTGAGCGGCATTCTGCTGAGACTAGAACGGTTTCGTACCGAGTTAGAGTTAGGCACAAATACGAATAGGTAAACAGCGCGCGCTGTTTAGCCCGCACTGCGCTAGGGGCGGTACTTATAGTTTATGTTGGCAAATTGTTCCCATCTCCGTAGTTAGTCAAGTAAGGCCGCACGCCTTCTTCGTTGCGATGGACGACTGGAATGGCGGCGTGGTGACCGAACGGTTACGCAGGTTCTGTGTAGGCCTACCGTCCGTTCCCACGCCTATTTACTTTTGTTCCTGTAAGTAATGAATGCGTGGCCCGCCGCCGGGGGCCACCGGGCCCCGAGTGCATTTCGCGATCGGGGAAGGGTAGGTGAATGATTTGGTCGGGCCTTTGGTTTCACGTGCCGTGTGCTCGGCGATAGTGGCTCGGGCCGTGACACGAGGGTCCTGCCGTCGGTGCCGTCATTGCATTGTGAAACAGGTTAAGCAAAACGGGTGCCTAGGGTTATATCCACAGTGTCCCTCACAGCAAGCTATTCCCAGGAAGGGACCATCCCGCACCGATGGCAGTGCGTATGGCATGTCGATTGCCATGGGCGCAGCATCGCATAATATATAAGTCCGCGAATACGGCGCTGAATAGCCGACTGGGTAAGAGCGGCTGGCGTTACGTCTGAAGGCATCGTGCCCTAGGGTTCGACACGGGCCCATCTGGCTTCGGTATTTATTTTTTCTTAGTTTTTGGGTGCCCTATCTGGTGTCATCCTTTAACTATTTTTTCCCCAATTTAACGCAAATATTTACGATGATTGTATTGGTTACACAACAATTTAATTTTTTAAAATTTATTTTTAAATGTAATTAATTTATAGTGTTAATTTAAATTTAATTAGGTGTTAAGGTTAGGGTTAGGGCAGTAGGCGTAGGCTGCGTGGTTCTGGAGATAGGACGCTGCTCGTGGAGGGGGTGTGATTCTGATGTTCGGACTCTTATGCATCGATCGTTATAAGGCCTCCCTAGCTGCCTAGTGAGTCATCACGTTAAATCCCTATGGGGGGCGTCGGCCTGCTGCCTATGATATTTTGGGTTGCATTTTTTTCAATTAGCTTGGTCCTATTGAAGTATCTCCTTCTGCTCTATCGCTTTTCTTTTAACGGATTGTGTTATTCTCTACGGAAGATGTACTGGTATGTGTGATTCTATGTAACGTCGTGGCGCCCGTTGCCAGTAACAAAATTTGTATTAACGTTAACATCAACTTTTCTCGTAGTGTCGACTTAATTTTATTTCGTAGAGGTACGAGGAAATTTGCTAGGATTTTTTATTCTCGTTACTTTACGACATTTCTGTCGGCAGTCGAATGATGTGTAGTTTTTATTATGGTTTTACATTGTTCTTAGTATTAGTTTTAGCTCAGTATTTACTACTGTTTCTGCATTGTCAGTGCGCCACCATCTTCGTTAAAATCACTTGCAGGATGAGAAGGAGTACGTGGACAAGCGCGTCTCCATCTTGGTCAAGTGCGGAATAGTGAGCTCTCTTGTGGGAATGTGCAAGAAGACAAAGAGTCAGACAACTAATGAACTAATAGCCAGGTCTGTAAACGGCTGCGTTTATAACTGAGCTAGATAGATAGCGTGGTTAGATAATTACAGTTCCTTCATGAGGTAGGTGCCATAACCAGGTAAAAATGGTTGCAGGTTACTCTTCACTAATCTAGCAAGCTTGGGACCAGACAGGTGCCAGATTAGTGGATTTTTAGAACCAGTGAAGCCTAGATTAAAAACGGCAAAATAATGAATATACTGATACCGATACAACTTTCATAGACATAAATCTTTTGTAACGTAGTTAATGTCACATGTTTACATTTCACTGTGTTATCAACACTTGTACTATTACTTTTCTGCAGCCAATTACTTTTAACTTGGCCATGGAAATAAGTAACTGGGTGAGTTAAGTCAGATAATCAGTACATTCTAGGTATTTGCAGTGACAGAATGTTGACTTATTTGATTGACTTGTGATTACTTTCTTATTCGCAGGGTGTTCTTCACAATAGCAGAAAACAAGGAACATAGAGGGTATCTAGTGCAGCAAGGTGGGGCAAAGGTAGGCACAGATCAGTAATTTAAAAAGCATGTGATACATGTGTGCAGCAGGTGTCTTTAGAAGTAACAGACAACAACTTCAAGCATACAATTTGTATGTTTGTGATAATATTAATAACTGTGTCCCTTATGCCCCAGTCACACATACACGACGCACGGCCCGGGCCGCGCACTGAAAATTAATAAAAAAATGGAAAATAGATCAGTGCGTCGTTGTGCGCCCAACTTTTGTCAAGATTTGGGAGAAGCTAGCGAGTTGACAACGAATGCTCAGCGTGTTGCTAGCGCGCTGCGCGTATACAGGGCGCATATATACAGAGCGTATACAGGGAGCACATGTTAAAAAATCCAACGAATGCACAGCGTGTTGCTAGCGCGCTGCGCGTATACAGGGCGCATAT